GGAGTGTCATCATTGATCACAAGATGAACATGACCCTGCAGTGCAATGCTGTGGCTAGTAAAGCGACCAAAATGCTGCTTGCATACATAGATGCTTCTCAAGCAAATCCCGGGATGTCATTCTCCCCTTGTACTCGGCCTTGGTGAGGCCGCAGCTGGAGCACTGCGTCCAGTTTTGGGCCCCACAACTTAAAAAGGATGTGGAGAAGCTTGAGAGAGTCCAGAGAAGAGTCACGCACATGATCAGAGGTCAGAAAAACGGACCTTACGGTGACAAGCTGAGAGCTATGGGACTCTTTAGCCTGGAAAAGTGAAGGCTCAGGGGTGATCTGGTGTCCATCTATAAGTATCAGGGGTGGCCACCAGTATCTGGGGGAACGTTTGTTCACCAGAGCACCCTAAGGGATGATGAGGTTGAATGGTTATAAACTACTGCAATACCGTTTCAGGCTAGACATAAGGGAGAATTTCTTTACTGTCTGAGCCCCCAAGGTCTGAAATAGCCGGCCATCGGAGGTGGTTCAAGCACCTACATTGAACACCTTCAGGAGTAAATTGGATGCTTATCTGGCTGGGATCCTATGACCCCAGCTGACTTCCTGCCCTCGGATGATCTTCCGAGGTCCCTTCCAGCCCCAGTGTCTATGAAATCTATGACACAAAATTATGGGGTATCTGCGAATTTGGACAGAGTGCTCTCTACACCCTCATCCAAGTTGCTGATGAAGACATTGAATAGCAAAGGTCCAAGGACCAAACCTTGTAGGATCCTACTGCCCACTTACCTCCATGTTGATATAGACCCGTGCACCATCACTCTGAGTGTGATCTTTAAGCCAATTTGCCACCCAGCTGACCGTGTAATCTTCTGTGTCACAGCAGCTCAGTTTGTTTATGAGAATAGGATGAGATACCTTATTGAAGGCCTTAAAATCCCAGTAGATGACATCTACCTTGACTCCTGCATCTAAACATTTTGTGACCTGCTCATAAAAAGAAAAAAGGTTAGTCAGGCAGGATCTACCTGCTGTGAACCTGTGCTGGTTGCTTTTCAGCATTATTTTTCCTGCTGGGCTCCCACAAATGTGATCCTTGATTAGTTTTTTCAAAAGTTTTCCCAAGGATACAGGTGAGACTAACTGGCTTACAATTACCCGGATCCTCCTTCCTCCCCTTCTTGAAAATAGGGACCACGTTGGCCCTTTTCCATTCCTCTGGGACCTGGCCCAGACTGCTCAGACAGCCAGGCCAGTGGATCTGCTATGATACTGGCCAGTTCCTTCAGCATCCTTTAGTGAAGATCATCCAGGCCTGCTAAACACATTCAGCCCCTCCAAGTGTCCCTTTTACTAGGTCGATGCTGACCCTTGGTGGGCTGGTGTTCCTCCTCCTGTGCCTATCTATAATGCAATTGGGAGATTTGTCTTGATCCGTGTTCAGGAATACAGAGGCAAACAACTCATTGGAGAGTTCAGCCTTGTCTTTCCTATCTCTCACCAATTGCTGTAGACTGCCCTGTAGGAGTCCAAAGTTACCCCACACCTTTTTGCTCCCTGTGTACTGGAAGAAAGACTTTTTGTTGTCTTTTAATTTTTGTCACCAGTCTGAGTTCCATTGCTGTTTTGGCCTTCCTAACTGACTCCCTGCAAGTGCGAGCCAAGGTATACTCCGTGGTAGCTACCCCCTGCTTCCACAGCCTGTATACCTCTTTATTTGCCCCTAGGCTTTCCTTGATTTCCCTGTTCAGCCAACAGGGTTTCTTGGCCCCTTTGCCCCCTTTTGTGCACGATGGGATTGTTTCCTGCACCCAAAGGATTGCTCCCTTGGGGAATGACCACCCTTCCTAGACTCCCAGCTCACCAATACTCTGGATCCTCAATGCCTCACTAATTTCCTGAGCATACTGAAGTTAGCTTTTCTGAAGTCTAGCACTTCTACCCTGCTGGTTACTTTTCCCACCCTATGCCAGATAGTGAATTCAGTCAATTGATAGTCACTATCCTCTAGGTTACCTTGTACCTGCAGATCCACCACCAGGTCATTCCCTGTACCTTGTTGGACTTGCTGCTAGCTATTTCTCCTAGTGGGAAGTTAAGAACCTATGTGAGCAGTTAGATCTGTCTGACTGCTCCTCGCAGCAGATGTCAGGGTAGTTTAGGTCACCCATGACAACCGTATCTTGACCACATGGCCTCTGAGAGCTGCCTTTTGAGAATTCCAGGTCTACCTTATCCTCCTAGTGTGGCAGTCTGTAGTAGACCTCCACTACCAAGTCCCTTACCTTCCTTCCTACCTCAATTTGCCCCTTCTCTGATTCCATCTTGATTATAGAAGATGTGTATTGCTCCAGAACATAGAAAGCAACACCCCCCCCCTTTTTTTCCTGTTTGTTTAGGGCTTCAGTGTCTTCAAAGCATCACAATGTAAATTTGTAATAGAGCTTCCTAGAACACATCCAAATAAAAATCTTTTGTATCATGTGCTGTGATATAGTTTCCTATGTTGCATTTGGACCTTGCTTACATTTATTTTACTTTCAAGGTGTTTTTTAGTTTGTCTCAGCTCAAGAGTAGGAAAACTTAATATTGATTATTTTACAAACATTGTTTGACTAACTAGAAACTGCTTCTTATTTTCTGTTCTTATTTGAATGACTACTTGGGGGTTAATAAAACAATCTCATTACGCAAAAGTTTGTGCATAATTATTCATTGCTCAGGTATTTGTCATCAAATGCTAGTTTTCTGCTTATATAAGACAACTATGCTGAGTTCCAGTCTAACCTCTGTTAGACTGAGGTGCATTATTAATCTCTGTGCATTGTTAACCTCGGCAGCATACGGAGAAAATATTAATTACAGAAAGGCATCTCTACATTCATTACTGGCAGCTGTGGGGAACAGCTTTGGGAATGCAGGTCAAAGCATTCAGCATAGCAACTGATAAGTTCTCATAACAGCAGAGAATATTGCCCTTACTTATAGATGTGTGAGTTGAAATTATAAATATGCAATTGACTTTATTGATTCTAAGTAAATGTTGAAGTCAGCAGTGTTTGGGAGTAGCTAGTAAAGTCCGCTCAATACGTAAGCAATAATAAACTGTTTATTTCAATGTGTTTTTTAATAAGCTGTTTTTTCTAGGTGTAAAGGGGTTTCTTTGTTCTGGTGACTCTGTCTCTTCTGGTACAATCCAAAAAGATAGATAACCCTTTGAATGAGAAGTGTGAAATATCACATAGCTGTATTCACATGTAAACAGCATTGTTGAATGTGCCAAGGTAGGTGCATTCTCTAGCACGT